TGAACCTTCACAGCAAACCAAAAATGGAGCAGTACCCAGGAAATACCTGGTCTGCCCCATCTTCTGCTGTCCTACAAGAATGGCAGCTTCACCACCTCCCTCACCCTTGTTAACCAGCAGGAAAGACCTGCAATGAAGAGCTCCCAGGGACTGGTCTGCAGATCATAACAGTCACAGAAAACCTCTGTGTGCGGGAACATTGGGAATACTTCCAGAGATTCACACACGTGCTCTAACACACTCAGAGCCAGCAGTCTAAAAACTTTACTCCCACTGTAGATCCTTTGGGATTTACAGACTGCTGGAACTCACCTCAGCTGAAAATTCAGCCATATTTGTGTGCCCTAAGAGTATCAGCTACAACTCCCTGCTGTTAGGAAGGCAGTCCTGTTAGCACACCAAATTGGTTTTCAGAGAATCCCAGCTGATGTCCAGCCAGCACATTTCCCTTGTTCAAAGCATGCTCAAAGACCAAATGGTGGAGCAACCTCTCTGCATAGGAGTTACAAAAGTTTCTGTATCAACGGCCTTACCTTCAGCGCAACTGGAAATGCTTGCAAGGCTTGGCGGCAGGTGAATGACAAACCTTGGGGTAGGTGAGCTTTTATATTGTGTACTTTGTGCTCTCCAGGGAAGTGATACGCCCTAAAGAACAGTGATATATTTATTTACTGAGCCTTGCTTTTGCTACCCGCTTCTTTGACTCGCAGCAGATAGGTGATATGAAGGAGACGTATCAACTACGTTCTGCACTGCGATTGTTAATTCTACTTAACGAATGTGAAGGTGCAGCCCCTTTCCCCCCCCTCACCTGGCAATCCCAGAACCAACATTGTGTTCTTGCTTGCACCGCAGGAATAGCCAGCTGGTGTGCAGTGAATCGGGACGACCTGGCACTTTCGTTGCCTTCGTACAAGAGCAGTGAGTTGGGCCGGATCAGGCACTCCCTGACCGCACCTGAAACTCCTGGTGCCTGGAGTCACACCTGCCTGGTAAATGCCAGAAATGTACATTCTGGGTGGTACTGGAATTGTATAGTTTCTGTCTAAATAGCAGGATTGAATCCTGTGGATTGGGACCAGGATGGAAAATTACTGGTGCCTAAAGTCAGTCATCTGGAGACCCTACAAAACAGCGGTACCAAGGAAGCCCTTTGAGCAATTCTGGTCCCCAGTGGGCTGCAGCCAGTAACTCCCTCTGAGTGGGACACTTCTCAGAGTAACTTGAACTCTGTCAACATTACCTGGGCTGATCTCGCTGAGAATCGACCTTTGCCCATTGAGAAATAATTTGATCTGAAGTGAGTATTTCACTGAACTCAGGGCAATTTTTATGATTGCGTGCGTGTGTGTGAATCTATTCAAAACATAATATTCTGTTACTGTGGTTGTAACAGAAAATTCTTTCTAATCACTCAGTAAATGCTAAGTTAACTAGTGATTAATAGCTGCTAAATCCCTGTGATTCTCTTTCTCTTTAAACAGTGAACACACCCTGAATTGCTGCTAAACCAATTCCTTAGACATAAACTGTTGTGGTCTAAGGCCGGTTCCGGATCCAGCTGCACCCAGGCTCCTCTCTGAGAAGTAGTTTAGAAAGCAATGGGGGTCCAGTCTGAGCCTGGTGACTCAACAAGAGGGTCTCCCTATCCCCCTATACTTCTCTTCAAATCTGTAGAAAACATTTTCCACCCAAAACCCCCTTTGATTTTGTATTCCATTCATTTGATAAGTAATAGAGTGAACCTTGCCAATGAACTTTGTAAGATCACATTTTCTAAATTTTCAGTAAAATATTTTCCTGGAAAACCTTTCAGTGACTCTTTCTGCGACGTAACCACTCATTCGCGACAATGATTCACTTCCGAGAGTCTTGTTCTGAAACGCTGAGGGGAACAGCGTTTCTGGGGGTCTACCTTGGGGGCTCCCCAATGCATTTCTGCTAGGCTGCATCTTCTCGGATACTCAGCAGAGAGTGGAGACAGAGCAGATGCTGTGGGACGGAGGCTGGAGTGAGTTAAGGCTAGAGCATGACAGAAGGACAAGGGTGAAGGTGTGCTGGAGGGGAGTCCCAGGAAGTTTGGGGGAAAGAGGGTTTCATCAGGGACTGGAGAGACGGGGAGCTGGATGGGAAGCAAGAGCACGTCCAGCTCCCTGGGAAAGGCAACTTGCTCAGCAGGCCAGAGGTACCACTGCTGATGGGGCAGCGCACCACTTTGGAGCACCTCAGCCCAGATCCATTTCAGAAGGCCCCATGAGGATGGCAGAGACATGGGGGCCATTTCCCCACACTTTTGGGAGCCCAAGGTGGATGCTGCTGTTGGACTGAGCAGAGAAGTCTGTGCTCAGCTCCAGTTTCCCAGGGCTTCTGATCTCCAGGCAGTGACAGGGAAAGTCTTGAAATCCTGCTATTTGAGAAGGTGCATTTGAAGGCCACCTAGAACCTGTCCTTGAACTCTAGGACATGAAACATTTCCTGTCTCTCAGCAGGGCTTATTTTCTGCAGGTCCTGCTTCACTGGCCAGCGCACCCACACCTGAGGCTGGGGAGGCCTCTGGGTATTTTGCTTGCTGGAGAATGACAGTTCGTCAGCACAGTTATCACAGCGCTGGCTGCTGTATCTTGCAGCAGCTTCATCCTGTCACTGCATGCTTAGAGGTTGACAACAGCATCCACCCTCGTGGGAGACTGAGTAGAGGTGAGCATAACTGGGGGTTTTTAGCCAAGAGGATGCATGACAGCAGCGGCAGGCTGCCCAGTCCCGTCACCATGAAAGTAATTTTGAACATGCACGGAACCCCACTGGTATGACGACAGGACCATCAGCACCAGCAACGTGGGTGCAGGGGGCTTCCTGCATTTTGCTTTGGACTTCCTCCAGTGGCTTAAGCTCCCCTCTCAACACCAAAGGCAAATCTAGGGTGTCACTGCAATTCTGTCTCTCACCCATGAAGTGTGGGCGTTGTGCTACTGAGCATCGCAACACCTTGATCCTCTCCGTGTATTTAACCTGTAGGGACTTGCATGAAGGGGCACCTAGGATTTTCTGCTCCTCAGGACACCCAGGGTGCGAGGGAAGGCTGTGGAGGCATTCAGCAGGGGTGGCGAGAGCTGCTCCTGCAAGCACTGGTGTGCAGAGATCCCATGGCTGGACCCTGCAGGGACTGGAAGCACTGAACCTGTAGCTCATGCACAAGTGGCAGAAGAGCATGGTTGGAACTGCAGCTACTGGAGGGGTTGTCATTGCCACAACTGCTTCCCAGGTTAAAGAGCAGCTTTAATACCTATGTTGGGTAAAGGCAAGGGAGGGTGCAAAAGGCTTGACGGTGGAGGCTGCCCCAGCTTCGAGCCACAGTGCCTGTTTGATGATGCTCTGTCTGCCCTGCAGAACAGCAGCCCTCAGAATGGGCTGGCAGCTCGTGTTCTCTTTCAGTCTCGTCACTGCAAAGACCTCAAAGGATGGTGCACAGGTGTGCATTGTTAGGAGAGAGAGAAAACGCTTGGCTGCTTCTGACAATCGCTTTGTCCAGCAGCTTCCTTCTTGCACAGCAATACTGACTTTGATAGTGTGGGACACGGTGAAGATACTGCTGGTGTGAAAGGAACTCTCCAATTTTTCCGCCAAAGGCAGGAGCGGGTCAGTCATGGTCCCTCAAGCGTTTGCACAGTCAGTGATCCCTCTTGCTCCTGATTTTCTTTCCTGCCTACTGGCTGTGTGTGTGAGAAGGACAAAAAAGCCTCTTAGCTTAAAATTTACTAAATGCAAGGCTGTAACACACCTGTCCCGAAGAGGACTTGCTGCAGACTTCAGCACAAATGCTACTGAACATTTCCCACCATAACTGATGGTTTTCTTGTGATAAATCTAGAAAAATGGTGCACATAAAAACCCAACTCTATTTCCAAAGGATGCTGCTGTCTGCACTGGAAGTCCCTGCAGTGAAAGCCAGAGCTTGTGGTCTTCTCCTTCTCTGGGAAGGGGAAACCAAGGTGGAGCTCTTGCCCAGGTTAAAGTTGCAGCCTTGCTGGACATGCTTTGCAAGAGGGACACAGACGATCTGCTTGAGCAAGAAGGTCTCTCTCAGGCAAGATCTGTTAACACTCATGTACTCCAACTCGACAGACTAAAGAAGAGTTGACAGCTGAACAGATTTGATGTATTATTCACTATTTGAAAGTAAACAGGGCAACTGACAAAGCATAAAAGCAACCTTACAAAACCAGTTCTTTCTGTACATGGTATTTTTTATTTCCTTTCACATAGATGGGTGAGAAGAGCCATCTTGGAGTTCTCAGCACAGGGACGCAGCATCAAGGGAAGAGAAGGGAAGGAGACATGCTGGGAGGAAACAGGCAAGCTTGGAAGACAGAGGCAGGGCTGTTCTTAATGAAAACAAGCGCCTGCTGTGGCTGTTACTTCTGGTGGCAGGGGGGCCAGTGGCAGGCCTGCTTGGTCTGATGAGACTCGATGTTGGGAATGACAATGGGGCATTTCTGCTGCGCAGACTGGTGGGATCCTCCGCTGCCCCCTCCAGAGCTGATGATGATTGCATGGCCCGAGGAACCGCCACTGCCACCACTGGATCCTCCACTGCAGCATCCAGAGGATCCTCCCCT